CGAAACCGAGATTCGCTCTGGAAGTGGGCGTGACTTGACAGTGGGGAAGACACCGCCCACTTTCTGGTTTCGCTCATGTGTTAGAGCCCTTTTTCCCCGATTCTGTGCCCTCCAGTGTGATTTTCGGATGCATAGCGTATATGCCCGGGTAAGCAAAAAATGTCAAAATCAACTTGCCCGGACACGGCCTTTCCAGTTCATCCACATGGTCCATCCTGCTGTTGACTTCACTGGTTTGACCAGTAGCGACGCTTAATGCACATCATCCACTTCTTTATTGGTCAAGTTTGAACTGACTGATACGGTGTCCCAATGAATGAATGTTTGGTTGCCAACCATTCTTCGCGAATTATGCCATAGTATAGTTGGTTCCAACTTGGATATACAGCATAAATCGATTCATTCATCACCCTCCGTTGTTGTAGGATGTACTTCAAGGACAGGCAATGAAAGCCAACTTGCTCCAAAAAAGTCATAGAGTTGGGGACTATGATACCATGTTTATTAGCGCTGATAATTCCATGCATAAGCTTTTCGCTCCGCCAGAAGTTCTAATGTGGAAGTTGCGCGCATACTGAGACAGCCATTTTCCAACAGTTACAAAAAAAACTGCCTTTACTATCTAGCCTGTTCTACAAACGACATTACCTGCGAGAATCAACATTTACTACATCCATCAAGACATCAAGACATTACATCATTACATCATCATCATCAGACATTACATTTTACATCAAGACACCTACTAGTCCTTGTCGAGCAGTAAGTCGTTCCCGCTCCCCCAGCGGAATGCCATTTTTGTTATCAGGCAAAAGCCAATGTTGTGGTCAATCGCGACGGAGTTTCGGAAAAATTGAGAGACTATCGTGAATCTTGCTCGTACGCAAGAGGTCTTTGTGATATGACGCCTATAGATTAAAAATGAAAAAAAAAACTCTAAGTGCCCGCATAGGTTTGCCATTATTTCCAAACGCAAGACCAGTAAGTGTAATTGCTTTACGAAGGACGGCGACGTCGTTGTTCTGATTAATCGGCTCCTTAGTTCATCCACGAAAGTGTTATTCATTGATTGTGTGTCTTGTAGACTTGCTGTTCAAAAAGGGTTTTTTGAATGAATGTGTACTTTTGTGTAAATAGATGCGATTTGCGAAATTGACACTTTCATTGTCAGTAGATGAGACAGGGAGCGGCCAATAGCTTGGGCCAGCTCGCGCAGATAATATCCCCAAAGTTTATATACATGATCATTTACTAGAAAGTAAAACCATCTGAAATTGCGAATTTGATCCTTCCTTTCTAATTTTAGCTCTAGAACAGCAAAGAGCATATTGCTTTGAAAAGCAGAATGTTTTGAACGGCTGATCAACAAGTGTTTCTATGCTAGTACTGTATGATCATTAGCCGCTGTCGGGTATTAACAATCTTGGATTTCACTCTTGAGAGAAAAGTGCGAGAGTACTGACGACTCGTAACTAAGTGTCTAGTTCTATACTATATAAGTAAAGACGAGAGAGGAGGGAAAGTGAAGAGCATGCTTTAGCATATCAGTCAACTGGACTGTTGTAATTGAAAAACTTGTCATAAAGTTTGAGTACACTGAAAAAAGCTTTTCACTCTACCTCACGGATTGCTTCTTATGGAAGCAGACTCTTAAGGACTCCAGAAAATCGGCGAGGTTGAAGGCAATGAGTAGGGTTTGCGACTGCGAATCATCTCTCCTTAGCCGATGCGCTGTGTCCAAAACTGTGCCTGAAAATTTTTGGATTTTGCTTGGAAAAAGGATTTTTTATGGCATTTTGCGGCCTTGACGATTGCTCAAGAGCCTGGACAAGTTATCCCCGTCAGGTTAGGCGCAATCGGCTGCCTGAACCAATCAGCCAACTGCTTAAAATGGGTGGCCGATTTTACCTCGACTCTCCTGCAAGCAGGTAGCGGAAATCTCTTCTCCAGGCCCTTCACATTTTCAAGACTGGAAAATGCTATCTACAAAAAGTGGTTTTTTGCCAACTTCGAGAGATTTCAAGCACAGTACTGGATTCAGCGCATCAGGAGGCTAGGGATGGATAGAAAACCCACTGGCGCGATTTTTTGGAGCCACTTCAAGGCGCAGGCGGTGCTAGTTGGAGGAAAGGGTTCACTTACGTTCCTTTTTCTTACGGTAGTTATTTAGTTATCGGTATCTTTGATGCGCCGTTTCTGTGAATTTTACAAACAACAAACATTTTAACTGTTGATTGTATCACTGTAACTAAATCAGTGTGGCAGCGCTCAACATACGCTACGATATTCTTTATGTCTCATCTGATGGTTACTTAAATTGACCGTTGGGTTGATAAAAGCATGTAATTCTTGAACCAGTGGTGCACCATCTTTTTTGATAGTCGCTCGCGCTCTTTCGAAGTGATTGAGATGGTATAGAAAAGCCCGTCTTTGAAAGAGTTTACAAAGGCGATGTTGCTTATACCATGTCTAATAGTAATTCCAGAGACTCGGATTGAGGGCTAGGTGGTTAGAAGTGGTGCGGAATCTCTAGATGTGGAGAAATTGCATTTCTCACATGTTATGGAGCTATAACAGTCAATATAGAATACGGCTTCCTTCACAGGGTCTAAACTGTCACTATATCTGTTGTCTATCACTGTTAGAAGAACGGTGGTGACTAACTGAGAAAACTCTTCAAATTGATGCTAGCTTTCTGCATACTGAAACAGGGAGTAGCAAACTTTTGGTAATGTTAGCCCGATCATTAAAAAAACATGTCAAGCAAAATGGAGAAAAGCAATTTGTTGAAAAAGGTGGACAATATTGGTGAGCAAAAAAGCTGATTAACCAATTGAAACCAGCCTGTAAATTTGCTTAGTAATAATTTTGAGCATTGGAGGCATCTACTTCCAAGATTCGCTTGATTCAAGGAAGTTCCATGTTTCGGATACTTCTTTATTTCAGGTTCATGTCACTGTGTAATATTGACACTAGTAATATTCGATCAGTAAAGAATCTTCATGCTGGCGTATTTCCAGTCCAGTATTCCGAGGCCTACTTTCAGAAGGTAAGTAAAGTCTTCAGGTTTTGAAGGCAATTCCGGGTAGCGGGTAATTACAAATATCTAAAGATCTCCAATCAGTCTATTGCCCAAGCGTCAACTTATATGCTTTATTTGTGAACGAAAAATTCAACTCCAAAGTTTTGCCCTTATCGGGTTCGCGGTAGATGGTAGATCCGATTAAGTATGATAAGGGGCTATAGTCAAGGTCATATGAGCTGCCACGTGAACAATGACTTAATTGAGATTTTAGTCAGTTTCCGCGGAAGCTCGAACACTTGAATTTGGAAAATCTGGAGAAAAGAAAAATTCTGTAAGGCGTGGAAAATGTGTTTGATATATTTTGTTGCAGGTGCAAAATAATGACTTATGTGCTGCTCTAGTAGTAGATGGCGAATGTCTTGGTGTGGTCTGCTGCAAATTCGAGATTGTCGGCTGCTCCAAGTTCCTTTACATAATGTCGCTAGCAGGTTAGTAACTCTGATTTTCTGATTCTTTCTGATTAAGATTTCGCAACATTGCAGTGCATCCACTATATCGATGTCGAGGGATTGGAAGCAGACTTCTTGATTTTGCCATCAATAAAGCAGAAAGTCATAGTGTGTCAACAATAAGACTGCATGTGCAGGTGGGTGGTATCCACTCTTCCGTTTCATAGAATTCTAAATATATCAATCAAAATCGTATTCTAACCTGCCAGTGAATTTCCTTATGAATTGTTTCGAGGTTTAAAAAGTCAAAATTCTTCTCCCTTTTTTGAGTGATATCCGGGGTAAAGCGGGGGGTGTGGCACACGATCGTCGGATA